AGACGTAAAGAAAACGTGTAGAACTGCAATATAGAACACTCGCAGTAGTAGGGGCCGGAATGTGGCCTACTACCGGAGGAAATCTGGATGCTCGATTGGCCGTGGCCATCTCCTGTCCTGTGCAAATTGACACAAACCCTGGTTCCGACCCAGAGTCCGCCGGGCGTTTAAGAAGAAACACCAGGCATTGGATGGCGTTCAACAAACATAGAAGCCCCCTGCTCTTTGCTCGTTTTAAACGTCTCTGCAATAAAGGTATCAAAGTAGCACGGGAGACTAATCTCAAGTATGAACTAGCCATAGCCAACGAGGCTTCAAAAAACAAAAAAAGATACTTCGGCTACGCTCAAGCCCGGTCCACATCAAGAAAAGTGACCGGCAATGCCCTTCACATTAATGGACAACTCTTGAACACCGACAAGGATATTGCCGACTCGTTCCTCGCCTCGTTCCAACAGGTCTTTCGTCTGGATAGCCTGAGCAACTACCCTACCCTCGATCGAGTGAGCGACATGCCAGATCTGGCAATATCTACACCGGACGTGGAAAGAGTCTTTAAGACTCTTAAAATCTCCAAGTCCGCGGGTCCAGATAATATCCATCCAGCCGTCATAAAACCGATAGAATCCTTAATGATTCCCCAACTAGTCACCGGTACTAGACCGGTACGTACCCTAGCGCGCGGTTTGAATTTATAAAATGCTCTCGCTTTTAAATCGTTTGTTCAAGCTAAAGTGAGATATCTGTAGATATTTCAGATTATAATTACCTATTTTTACCGTGTTTTGGTTGACCCGTAAAATATCGCAAGGTATTTCATAGTGTTAAACTCTGACTGGTTTTGACTAGTCACTGAGAAACGTTTTTGTTGTTTAGAAGTTTTATAGGTTGTCCGGTTTGGTTTTCCTCTACGGTTGCGTGTCTTTTTGTTCCTTTTTCGGTTCATTGTAACGTATTGATAAAATGGTACATAAGGGTGACCACTGTGGCATGAGTCAGTGCCAGGAACAGGTTGAGAATGGCAACGAGTGTGATAGATGCAAAGCATGGTACCATCAAAAATGTTGCAAATTATCTGAGAAGGATTATTTGCTTCGCAGGAAATATCCAGCGCTGAAATGGATATGGAGCCACTGTGTTTCGTTGGCGAAGAGTGCTCCCGCATATTAAGGGGAGCGGTGCTGAAGGAAGCAAGTAAAACGGAGCCACTAGCTACAACTAAGACCTCCGAAAGGAAGGGAAAAAAACGAAAAAAGCTGTTAGCCAAAAGGTTAACAAAGTGGGGAAAACAGCGCCAATCGACAAGGCGAATCCAGTAAAGACGGCAGAAATAGCCGTGCTTACTACCAAGATCAAAGCGCTAGAGAAAGAGTTAAGAACAATAAAAGAAACGCAACAAGCGCTCCTGTGTCGGACGAAGCATGTATTGTTGCATACTATCCCGGAGCCTATCATACGGGATAGTAAGATTAGGCATGAGGCCGATAGGAGGCATGTCCAGGACATATTCAGATTAGCAGACCTGCTCCCACGACGCGTTAGGTGAAGAGTCACCGTGTGGGTCGCTAGAGGGAGTTTACAGCTCAGAAGCCGAGACCCATAAAAGTGGTTTTCAGTAGCACGTATATGAGAGACCTGGTGCTAGCAAAAGCAACCAGGATAGAGATAAACACCAGAGGAGCTGTAAGAATAACTCCGGACGACGGGACCAGTATTAAACCGGTCACGAAGAGGTATACCATTACGGGGAAAGCAACCCACAAGGAACTCCAGTTAGTAATAAAAAAGGAGAGCATATAAACGGTGGGGCGAAACTCAA